TGCAGAGATTTGGAAGGTTTTTCATGCTGGGTCAGTGACTCAGTGCTTGAGTGGAATCCTGGGGTGAAATAGTCATTTATTGTTGGGTCACGTAGAAAGAAAGGTTATAACTTTTTTTGACAGTAAGACACAGGACCAGATTGCAATTAGAACGAATGCCAGATGAAGCAGCAGGTTGCTGGTCATAAATGTTTATGAGTCAAAACCACTTAAGAGGCTATTACTCATAAAAATTTAGCAACATTTACACTAAACGGCTAATGTGTTTGGAATTATAGTAATTCTAAATGGTAGAGATCTTCAGTATCATAAAGAGAATGCTTGGTTGCTTATGTACAGTAGCTCTGTTAGCATTTCCTTTCACTATCTTTAGTGCATAGTTCAGCAGATCTTTTTTGTAAACAAATCCTTAGCTTTAATGTCACCTACACCTTTAATGTCATTCAATACCTTGCATACTTATTTTGTGTGCTAAGACTGAGATGCACAATAATTAGCTATGCCACACTGATCCTAAAAAGGGGTAAAACAGCTGTCCGTCACGTCTAACTTTGACTTCATTGAAAACAGGAGACTCCTTTTTTGCACAAAACGTTATGGGACTCTGGTTTCTTTGAAGAAACTGTTTTAAAGATCAATTAGCTGCTAGCAGCCAGACAAGCTAGATGGGTTGAATGGCCTTGTCACACTTATAATGTCATATTATGATATTATTTTATACAGCTTGATACAGATGAAAACAAACCTGTGTGTTTTGAAGTGGCTAATTCTACAATGCCGCTGACAGTGAAGGGAAATGCCACACCTTCATACAGTACATATACTGAATTGCAATCGCATGTAATGTGTATAATGCATGCAATGCAAAGGTTTTGCAAACAAAAAAAACTTAAACATTTCGAAGTGTTTCATTTTGTTTAGCTTAAATTTTATTCAAGTTGAACATAAGAATGGTTACAGATGAGAAGAGGCCATTTGATCCACCTAGCCTGTTTTGGTATGGTAATGAGCTACACAAATTAAAAAAATCAGTTCTGAAATTTGAACCTGCTCTTTCTGAAGCCCTTAAAACTTCTACATTGTTGTTTCATAACATTTATTTGTCTTAAAGTCAACATTGGCTGTCTTATGATAGCAGCTGTAGTCTTTGCTTTTGAAAGAAGCTATAAATTAAGAGTTATGCAGTTTAAATCAATGAAGATATTTTAGTACTGCTGCTTAAATGATTGTAGCCAACTTATTTATGACTAAATGTTCGTTGCATTTAGTAAATATTTTTTTTATTTGGTGTTGTATGATTGATTGTATCATTTTGGATTATATTGCTTAAATTCCACTGTATATGGGAGATTTTGAAATCATTTTACCACTAAAAGCTACGTGTTAGGCCATATACATATTTTCTAACTAATGCCTAAACATACCACCTTGTTATTTTATCTCATTAATATAGATCTTGGCTTGATTTCTTGAATGTGTTAAAGGGTTACCAGTATAAACTGCAAAAGCAATGAGGCACATACTGTAGTGCCAAATTTATTGCTGTCAGAAGGTTATGGTGTTAAAGATATACAGTGCAATATTGTAATGAAATTAACATTCAGCATACATGATCCGTGTATATACTTATTCTCCTTTCTGTATGTAAATTTAAGGTGTTGAGAACCTCACTGTTGTTTAAAACATTGCAGTGAGATGTTATCATGAAATACGGTGTAGAAACTGTAGGCTGTATGTCTCTTTTTTCATTATTTTCTCTTTCACTCTGGCTGTGCATATCCATGTCCTGAGGAGATGCACACAAAAAGGCAGATGGGTTCACTGAGTCCTTCAGGGGCCAGAGCTGGTTCATCACATCTAACTGAGCCGGGTTGTCAAATCCATGAAGCCACTTGTTTACTGTGGCTGCTACCAGAGTCAGCAGTCATGGGAGGCACACAAAATGACTGCAATTATCAGGTACTTCTACAATAGTAACATGACTCAGCATCACACGGCTGTAGTTCTTATGTAAATATGGCTGACAGCCTCCTGGATCTTGACAAAGGGTGGTGTGTACTGTTGAAATCTAGTTCTGTGTCTCATGTTGGTGTTAGTAAAGCACACGTACATCAGATGTGAGATACATACAGTTTTTAGGAACAACTAGTTTTTGAAAAAAAATCAAAAGTGTAGCAGAAAGTATTTTTAAAAATAAATAACATTTTTATGTAATTAAAAATAGTTTAATAAAAATCCCAGAAAGCAACTATTCTTCCAGAGAGGAATTATGATTAAAAATAGTTATGTATTTACAAATCATTCAAGTACATTCATCTTGAGAATACAAGACCTTCATTTCTTATCCTCAATTTAAAGGAAGCTATGCCTTGTTGTTGTCAACCTTTTTAAAGACTTCAGCAGCTATCAAGAGTAGTTCTCAAAAGACTTAAAACAGATAAACTTACAGTTAGGGAGTAAATATGTGACGACAATGATTGAAAATGCTAAATGTCCCTGGCTGTTTTCCATTTTCAAAAGGTCCTGCTTTGTATCAGCCTCCTCCCCATCTGCAAACTTTGCAGTATTTAAGTTTTTGGGAATTGAATTTTGTATTTTATATTTTTTCTACTACCTAAGCAGTTTATTTAAAAAAAAATGTCTTTTTTTTTAAATATTATTTGAATATTATAACAAGTAATCACTTAGTTGGCCCATATGTTATCTCATATAATTGAGCCCATATACTTATATACAGTATTTCATCTCTTTAGAAAGTTAGAATTTTCCAATAAAATGTCCATTTGAGTGGAATATCATTGTGGAAATAACATATTGAGACCTGTGTCCCATTTGTTGATGCAACCCTGGCTCCAGTAGTGCTTCAATCTTTAATCAGAATAATATTTGTCCCCCTATAGGTTTAAAATACATTTATCTTGAGCTTGTGGATCTTTCCTTGGTCCTCCATGTTACCAGTATTGTTACTCCAAATACCTTCTTGTGAAACGAGTCTAGTAGATGTGTGGCTCAACCATTTTGTTGAGACAAATGTGTTCATGACAGGGTGCCATTATCTTGTAAAGGGAGAATAAGAATTCCTTGCTTATTCATCCTCTGCTCAATGAACTGTCCATTGAAGAGCTCAGCAGTCTTTTGTTCTAACTTCTGTTTCAATGAGGACAGTTAAAGGTTTAGCATCAGTCATCACCAAATAACGTCACAGATCTGACAACTTAATACAATGAGAAGAATTGAGCTACCCAGGTGTTGGTCTCTTATGCAAGTGTATTGGAAATGTGATGTATTCTGTAACCATATGCAATGTGACTTGCAAGGTTCTTTCTCAAAATTCTCTTTACAGATGATTAGATATCAAGTCAAAACACACAAAAAAAATTCTAACTGCATCCCAACTAATATAAATTGGAAAGTAATTTTAATTGTAACATTATGTATTAGTATTATAATGAAAAATGAAGCATCCGTGTATATGAGGACTGTATAATACTCCTACTGTACATTTTCTAAATCAGCATACACTTAATTTATTAAAACCTACATTAAAACCTAAAATATACTAAAAAGAAAACTTTTTCTGTTTAACAGTGGTGAAAGGCATTGTTGATACTGTAGATGAAGAAATCAGAAACAGGTTTTGACTGCTTACTTGTGATTATACATAATGAAATCCATATGATAAGAGAGCTTAACTTTCAAATACTCTGTGATTAAGTTGTTTGAGCACTTGTGATCTTAGTTCCATATACAGTACTGTAGTTTAAAAACTAGTGACAATCTGGTGTTCTGCCATTGTTATTATAAGTATGCAAACTAACTTGATTTTTAAGAGATCTTTTTATCAAAGATAAAAGGTTATATCAAAGGTTTCTGATAATGAAATATTTACCATTTATTGTCGCAAATGATAAATTCAATGGGAATGATACTTTCTGTACAACTTCCTGTTGCTTACCAACTGTTTAAACTGCTTACTTGATGTAGTTTGATGACATAGTGTACCATACAGCAGGTCACATTGACTAAATCTGATGGCTTAACTTGTCGTGTTTTACTAATGGGTTATGCTATTTCAAGACATTTTTATCACTTTGATGGATTCTGCTGCCTCAAAAGTGGGAAGGGAGATGTTTAAATTGAAGGACCGGGTGAAATTAAATCTGATATACTGGATAGCATTCTTTTTAACTCCTCTTTGGAGCCTGTGAGACATAAGAGAGAAGGAAAGGTCAGCTTTTCACATGGTTTCATTTTTTTCTGCCACAGAATATCCTCGGTATACAGCTCAAAATATTATATTGGCACAGTCCTTGTCCAACCCAAAGACAACTGACACAGCAAGCAATAAACTGAGAACCCATGAAACGGTTCAAACTGAAAAAGTCAAAGAGAAAAGTTGTGTAAAGCCAACCTGGTAGGAGACTCAGTCACTTAATCAGTTTTGTATACTGGACAATTGATTCCCGCACACTGTAAACTATTGTTATTCATTCTTGCACTACAAAGACCTATTTCCTGTATGATGTGCTGTACCTGGCATTTCACAGCACCTTTCATAATCTGCAGAGCCAGAGAACAATATAAATAATTTTATTATTATTATTATTATTATTATTATTATTATTATTATATTATTCACTAACAGGAACTTTGCCACTGGCTTTCACCTCAAATCATGCACATTCAGATAAATCAATGAATGAATGAACTGGTTAATCTCAGTGGATGTTTTTTCCTACTTTCAACCCCTCTTGTATGTGAGCACAGCTTGGCTGTGAAGCTTCCTAGCAGCCTGGTAATGAGCTGCACGGGGATTCTGGGATCGGCTTCAGTTGTGCTTGCTTTGGCTGTGCTTAATGGTGGGCAAATCTGTAATTCCAACCTTTCATGTGCAAACAGAATACAAAACCGGCAACTGTACCAATTATGAAATGAGAAAAAAAAGGATTGTTAAACCCAGTGGAGCCATGCATTCAGTTAACAATATTTTCTTTCCCCAGAATGATTGAAGAGGGTGGAAAAAGAGGCAAGACCATGGCCGAAAAGAGGCAACTTTTCATGGAGATGAGTAAGTACTGAAAGGAACTTGACACTTGATAAGAGTAAATTTCAGTTTGATAGGACAAAAAGCTTGGAAAAGAGTGAAAAAACTCCTTCAAGGCCAGTGGAAGAGAAACATATTTCAATAACCTGAGTTGCACAGTGTAGCACAGTGTGAATCACAATGTTAGCTTCTGTGTTTCCATCAATGGTACATATTGTGCAGAACATTTACAGTGCAAACCATGGGTAAGGGGAGTGACCATACAGATAACGGGAAAAAGTGCTGTTGTCACTAAGGGCTTTTGTTCTTCTGAGGAGTCATTCCAGTATTTTAGTCAGTGTTTCATGTCAGATCCGTCAAAGCAAGGAGTACGTCTCTGGAGACAGCACCTCTGAAAACACACAGGCTTTTGTGTGGAAAACAGCAGCAAGGAACTTTACTGATAGTGACAATCTCTGACGCAAGCCTCACTGTCATTGCAAAATTATAATGAAATAAAATGTTACTTTTTGTATATCTGTCCTTCCAATTTTAATTGAGTTGAAATACAATTCTAATTTAAAGTATTGGAAGGATGTAAGGCTTATTTTCAACTGATAGAAAAGTTCAAGGTGAGAATGGATTGGCCTTGAGGAATCTCATGTGAGACTTGGGGTAAGAGCAAAGATGTTCAAGAGCAAAGATGAACTACTCCTCTGATATGTATTGATACAAAATTTAGTTCCTTTAAAATATTAGGCACAGTTTTTTCTTCTGACTTTGTACAGTGGAGGTCTTAGATCTACAAGACCACAAAGATTGTTTCTGCAATGTGGTTAATCCTGCATTAGAATTCTGGAAGATTTGCTTAGAAAAGGCTTCTGTGGGGGAAAAAAAATCTGTATAATGTACTTTTTAATTTGTAAGAAAACATATGACTGTTTAATTTAGGTAATGTTTTTCTCTAGAAATATTCTTTAAGAAGTTGAAGGTGTACAGAATACATTTTGAAACTGGCTATCAACATTGTGAAAATTGAGTGTGGAAATTCTGTAGACAAGGAAATGGGACCATGAGAACATTTTCTCATACCACTGACATTGCAGCAGAAGCCACTTAGGTCAAACGAATGCTGTCCACTATGTGCAGTGTACTTTGTGGAGATAATGGATCTAGTACAGTACATTTGTCAATTACTACAAAAATGTTTTTTTAAACTTTACAGTTATAATAAGGTCATTTTTGACAAAATATTTGTGTTGGAAGAAAACCCTGTTTTGAATTCTAAGAGAGCTGTCCTAAAGGGTAGATTTGTGGAATAAGGCCTACAGTATTTAGCACAAAATTGGTATTGTTTTCAAAAGTGGCATCTTGGCATGTTTTTACCCAGGGGCCCAGAATTATGATGTCATCAGACTCTCAACCTATCGGACGGCTTGCAAGCTGAGATTCGTACAGAAAAGGTGCAACCGTAAGTAGCATCACTAAATCGCATCTTTGTGCTCAGCTGTTTTGAAAGGTCTTAAAATTACTCATCTCAGTGTACAATTGTAATTTATAAAGACTGTATTTATAAATCATGCAGTTTTGTGGCTCCTTACCCTCAAACGTATACGTACCTGCACTATTCAATTCAATTCAATTTATTTTTATATAGCGCCTTTCACAACAAGGTTGCCCCAAGGTGCTTTACAAAAGGGTGATTATTACCACAAAATTACCACAAAAGGGTGCTTATCCTCCCATTATCAATATCAGTTTAGCTCAGTAATACAGTAGGTCACAGGATGGGTGGATTCCAGTCCTTTACTCTTAATACAGGGGACAGTAATGGAAATGGCTGAGGCTGTGGAAGGAAAGCAGAGCGCCAAGACAAAACCTACTGTACATGGCCACATGGAAAACATGCAAGCAAGTTGCAACTTAAAATGGTTGAAGAAAGTTGTACATCAGGGCATGAAAACTTGCATACAGTACAGTAGCACATCAGACTGCTTCAAAACCCCAATTTTCATTACCGAAACCTATAAAGAAATGAAATTGTGTCATGTTTAGCACTGAATCTAGAGTGCAATCACTTAGAAGGAATAAAAAAGATATCATCTAAACACTGGCATATTTTACAGTCTGATCAGAATTGACACATTTGTTCTTGGCTTTCCCCTTAGTAGCCTTAGCCATAATTTCAGAGATAAATTTCAGACTTCACTTGAACAATCCCTTACCAACTCTACCATGTGGTTATTACAAATAGAGTAATACAAATAAAGTTTGTGCTCATTGTAAAGCAAAACAGAACGTAATTTTCTCTATACATTCATACACACTCACGCACTGTACAGGTAAAGATTATTTGTGTGAGGATTATCTTTCAGGTTTAACAAAGCCTCGTCTATTTAATCTCTTGTCCATCTGTCATGGTTATACGTTACCATAATATGACTGATGGAGTAGCTGCCCATATTATTGAAGCTAACCAATTAATTTGTTATCTCCTTTTGCTTAGTGGACAATGAGAAATTCCACATCTCTAGAAAGGTGGAGATTTAGATACTTTTATAAGGGGAGATGTTGTGGATGTTCCAACTTTAAATCCTTTTATCTACCCGCTATCTAACAGTTAATGGGTTAAATATTGAATTTGATGCTGTGAGATAATTATTTCAAATGTAATTGAAGAATTTATGATGACCTGCTGTAATTAAGGATATACTTTAATAGTGATCTATTAGTAAAAGTGAATATATGACATGGGTAATTAAAAATAAACGATTCTTTATTTCTTTACCGTATTTAGCTAACAGGAGCGTACTCTTTGAGTGTTTCATAAATCAATTAAGCAATACTTAGAGGGGAGAAGTTATTTTTATATTCATACTTTATGTTTTATAGTGGGTAATTTGTTGATGGGTTTGTCACCTAGAATATAAAGTACCCGTTTGCATACTGGATGAAAGCCTTGAAAGTGCAATGAAAGTCATTTGGATTTTTAAGAGATGTTGACTTGTATATTACTCTTTTTTATTTTCTTTAACTGGTAAATGAATTGGATTGGTAATGTGCGTTTTGATGCTGCAGTAATTATACAGTATATACACCTTTTAAGCAGAGAAGAGACATTGCCTCATTTTAATATGTGATGTATATTATATAATTGGTAAGTCAGTTATTGAATTCTGGCACTAGGATAAAAGATGTATGTCTTGTGTTATGTTAGTTTTCAAGCTCTGACAAATGTACGCTGTTGTGCTGAATCCTTGATTTAATCAAATGCAAGGAAATTGATGAAAAAGTGTACAACTCTTTGCTAAATCCTAAATATTCAGGCATGATTTGTGAAGTGAATTAATACTACTGAGGCAATGTGTGAATATGCATTCTTTTAGAACAGTGAAAAAATATTTTAAGTTCTAGAAAATCTTAGGTTACTACTTTTAGAGTTTACAAAGTAGCATCTATCAATAAAAGAAGGTTAGCGGTTTGGATAATGGTTTTTAAAATTGGCAGTATTTTTTAAACTTGTCTTGAGTGTCAGTCTGTTTCTGTTGTTTCCCACATTTCTGGTTCTCCAGCTGCTGGTGTAACTGAACTACTGTTGTCTTCTCTGTTTCTTTCACAGTGCATCTTGTAGATGTCTGGAATGTAATAGAAGCCTTTCGTGATAACGGCCTCAACACACTAGACCACAACACGGAAATCAATGTCTCCCGACTGGAAACAATTATCTCTTCCATTTACTATCAACTTAACAAACGGCTTCCTACCACTCATCAAATAAGTGTGGAACAGTCAATCAGCCTTCTCCTCAACTTCATGATTGCTGCCTATGACAGGTAATTAACACAGTGGCTAGATTTAGGTTTACCAGTGTTGGCGAGAAAGGATTTACATCTGTGCTCTGTACTGTAGTTTTTTGTCAAGTAAGAAATTCATGCCTGGCAGTTTGTGATTTTGTTTCGTTATTATTTGACATGCAGTGACAATTTGTAATGCACAGAGGTTCATGAGTGCTGTCAGGCAGTAGGTTTGAAAGGTAAGTTGATGTGACATGTTGTCCACTCAGTAATATTTAAGTGTCAGCAAATGTAAAGCTGACAGTAAATACAATTGAGACACAGTGGAATTTTTAAGCCTTTTTAAATTTTAAAATAAGAATATGTTCATTAGTTATTTCAAAGGTCCTTTGCACATACTCTGTGTAAGAGTAGTTAAGATTATACAGTATATGTAAACCTTTTGCCCTGGCAGAAATTAATTTTGCTCACCTATTTAGCATAAATTGAGCTTTCCAACTAAACTACTGAAGTAGCTAGGACCACCACACTGGTCAGCTTGGGTTTACAACTGAAACCAGTATCTGTAACAACTTTTTATCACAAAATTATTTCACTAATGGTTATATGCAAATTACCTCATTAAAACATGCTACAAAATTGTTTCACACTACTTGTTTTCACCAATGCAAATGATATGATTGAGAACGTTATCGGATCTTGTGTAATTATTACCTTTAATGATGGACCCATACTGTAGGTTACGCAGCAAATCAAACTTTATAAGTAAACAATGCCAATTTTTTCACTAGCTTTTTTTTTTTGCATTTGATTTTATTAGTCTTTTTTGAAAGCAAGCAAGAAAGAAGTTCTTGCCTTGACTTTAAAGCAAGACTAATTACTTTGCTTAACTGCTTTAAATACCCTTTATTATTCCACTAATGCTGGCTTGTCAATATGTGATCCTTAAAATGAACTGCTGTTTTCCCCTAGCTGTCGGATGTGTAAAATGAACTGCACATAGCCTTAGATATGAATCATGGCCGAGCGTCATTCACAGATTCATCATCAGATCAATTCAGTGCAATTATCTGTCTGCAATGACAAGGTACTGTCTGCTCTGTCTGTTTTAATTGATTGAAGAGATAGAAAGGATAAGGGCAAAAGAAAATCTTTAGAATTAAGCCCAGGTTTGAAAAGGCAGCTGGGAATGTTAATGATTCATGGAAGAAAGAAGGTAAGAAACAAGACTTGCAATTACATCTTTGAGTGAAGTGAAATGAAAAGGTTCACAATGCTTTGATGTTTAGAGGTAACTCGTTACTGTTTTGACTCTTGTTTTCTGGGATTTTGTGAAATGTTTTATGTTTTTTTTTAATTGAATAGAGACAACAGTTGCCCTTAACTATTACGATATTCCTGTATTTTGAGGGGAACTCAAAATGCACCACTGGGGCTCTTGTCTTTGACCTCTGCCCCCCAAAAAAGAATATACTGTATGCAATGGCAAGTGCTACATATAATTCCTTTGCATTTACAGGAAGTGTTGTCTCTTAGAAAAGTAATTCACATCCAATGACCTTGTCATTGATAAGCAGTTCAAATCAGAAGGTCTTTTCGGGTAATTTCAGTAATGGGGAGAAAAACTTGCTGAGACACTTACCTCTTCTGGTGTCCCAGAACAACAGGCTTGTGTGCAATAGATTTAAAACTTCCAGTTTATTTTGAAAATTGTTTATTTTGTGTGAAATTAACGGTTCAGATATTACATCTGTCTGTGTTATGCTGTCACCTGGTTGGCTCCTTCGCAAGAGAGTTTAATGTTATGTTACATATTAGCTGCAAAGAAAGACTGTAGAAGAATTACTGTATCTTCACTAGTATGAAACCATGAAATGCCAACAAAAGTTACTATTATAAAATTCTGTGGTGGTTAGCTTTCTATCAAATGCTTGCTGAAAAGATTAATTATTGGTGTCTTCAGTAACAATCTAGCTCATCTAACATCTAACTCATTAGTAGTTTAATGAGATTGGCACCAGTGTCATGATATAAATGATTTGTATTTCTGTCAGTGAGAAATGTGCCTGCTTTTCAAATGTGGACATTCAGTAAGTGGCTAACAAATCTTGAATTTTATGGCTTTTACATTTATGTTGTTATGTGACCAATTTTAATGTACTATTTTGTTATGCTGGACCAGAGTTTCAAAAAGATAATATCGTGTTGTGGTAGGGATGATGCCTGCCAAGTTTGGAGTTAAATATTTACTCTGCCTTTGAACAGTTAGCAGTCACTTTTGAAAAAACATGGCTGTCAGATGTCTACTGGTTTATGTAGGAAACTCACTTTGCCTTATTTTAATATCATTGTCACAAAGAAGATACAGTACCTGCTGAGTTTGGAATTAATTGGTCAAACAGTTTCTGAACAAGAGCAGTTTAAGGTATGGCAACTTTATATTTAGAATTTGGTGGCCCAGTTTGGATATATTGTAACCTTTCAGTGTAGATCCAGTGTTCAAAAGTTCAATGGTTGCAACAAAATATTCAGAACAAAAGGATGGGCATCTTTATCTATTCAGGATTGCTGTGTCCTTTTTTTAATTTTCTGGTCTGTTTTTGTCTTTTCTTTCCAGTGAAGGCCATGGCAAATTGACTGTGTTTTCTGTTAAAGCCATGCTGGCTACCATGTGTGGTGGGAAAATTGTGGACAAACTACGGTGTAAGTATGTTGGGATGCTACATTTTTCCCTTTTCCTGAAATGTACTTCAGTTCTTCAATCCAGGGAAACCCCTTGCAGGTCCTGGAGGGCAAGTTTATCACCAGGTTTTAATTCTGACTTGGTTCTTAAAGGGGAACTGCAGTCCCAATTTCTAAGACAGGTTATCTAAATTCAATAACCCAAAAAATTCATTGATGTTATAGAAAACATTTACAACTTTCAAGTTAAGCACAAAATCATGAACCTTATGAAAGTACTATAAGTACATGTTGTCACAAACCCCTGGTCTCACCATGGGCGATAGCGAAAGTTCCCACAAATTGCGACGTGATGCAGCCCTTCCTGCTCACTAGTGACGTAATGACTAATGTAATGAGGTGTATGAGTTATTTAAGTACTGATTGTGCAGTGGGCATTTCACTGCAGGAAGTTTCCAACGTGATCTTCATGCGTATTGATAAGCAGGTTCCATTTATCAGCAAAACCGTCTTGAAATCGAGAGCAATATTTCAATTGGTTTAAAACACATTTTTTCACAAGCCTGCTGTTTTCAATGTAATAGGGCTGCTTCACGTCACTGGAACTTTGGTTGCCTTGTTCTGAATTGCAGAATATGGTGCCGCGCATACCTGGAAATTATATCTACTGTATATTGGGATGCAAATTGGAGGTTTTACAAGTTACTGTGTAGATTTTACTTTCATTGCGGTTTGAAATGCACTCATCAAAGCTCATTCTTTCTAACCCTGAAAAATAAAAACAGTGTTACAGTTCCTCTTTATAACTAATTTAGTTAATTATTGCCTTAATTGGACTAATATGGTAGTTTTCCTGTGCTGTGCTGTAAAACAGGGGTTCCCAATTCTGGTCTTTGAGGCCTACAAACCTGTTGAATTTCATTCCAGACGAGCTTAATTACCTAATTGAAGTCTTGATGGAACTAATAGGTTGTTTGATTGGAATGTTTTTTCTACTCATAAACTTGGATTTTTCTCTTACTTATGAAATACAAGTAGTTAAAAACAGGGTGCGAATTATATCTTGGCATTAGGGGGAGCTCACCCCTGGTTGGGGGGGCACATCACGCGTGAAAGAGATTTCTTCAAAAACTCATCAAAACCCACGTTACTGAGGCTCCTTCTCAGACAACTGTAAATTGATTCTGCGACTGTGCCATCCGTATTTTAGAGACCCCCCCCAAAATTTTGCAAATGGTCTCCTCAGGGGAGCTCGTGCCTTATTCAGGGGAGCTCCCCCGTAATTTGCACCATGGTTAAAAGGCAACTCTCAACATGTTTAAGATGTGAAAAAACAGTTCAAATTAATCATGTTATTGAGTTAGTTACTCAATAATTCTCAGTTGTGTAACAGAGAGGAATACAAACCTGCAGGACTGTGGGATCCCCTGGCCTAAAAAACCTGCAGAAACCCCAGCCCTCCCAGACCAGGATTGGAGGCCCCTGCTTTATTTTTTTTCTACACAGTGATACACCCTAGTGAAAGATATATGCAATTACACAGGACATTACTACACTGTCACTGGCCATGTGCAATGCTAAGCTAGTGTTTCCTGATAGTGTTTTATTTCGAACAGACCTCTCTCAGATCATTGCTTACACTAACTGAAACTCTTTGGGTCATCTTTAACATTTCTTTTTAGATTCATTTTGAAAGCAAGATTAAGTACAAACACAGGTGGCGAATTACAGGACACTCACAAATACAGAAAGATTTCAGGTGCTTTAGAATCAGGCTTTGTGTTAAAGAGCACTATTGTGCCAAACTTTTGCCGTAACTGCGAATCTGATTTTCAGAGTCTTGTTTATAGACCTGTGGTCTGTAAATCTGAATTGAGCTCTTTAGTAACCTACATTTTGAATTCATGCTGAAAAGAGAAGAAAGAAAACACAACGTTTTGGCCGTGGAGCCTTCTTCAGGTGTTGACACAAGAGGAGTGATGAGGTGGAATAGAAGGCTCTAAAGGTTCAAATACCATGCACAGCTTTTCCAGTAGTGCTTGTAGAGTGATCACAAGGAATTTGTTCTTTTAGTTGTAGGCATGCCTGCAGACCTGAGATCATTGTCTAGTGATGATACCAGGTTAAAAAATGTCAAATAACAAAACAAAAGTGACTTGACATTACATTAATTACAGTAGGGAGCAAAATGAATGCAAATATGATTTTTTTGTCTGTATTTGCCCCAAAACTGAATTTTTTTTTGTTCTGTAAAAATACAAATACTGTGTTTTATTGTGGCAAATTTATAACTTTAAATGGGACTATGAATCATATTCTGTAGAAGCCATCACAAAGTAGTGTTTGTGAAAACAATGATGGTGTGCATTGATATTCAGAGAGTAAGGAAATGTGTAATCTGAATTAAACAGTCAATCTCTGCAGTTTGTGTAACTTTATCATGATGAATCCTAATGAATCCTAGAACATAGACATGATTAGCAGGTGATCCTATTTGTGATATATAAAAATGAGGGTTTAGCATGCAGATTGACAGGATGACTCATTATGTGCGTGAAGATATAATTCTAAGATATTTGAAAGATGGGTCATGCTACCTACAGGGTATACAATTGAACAATAACATCATGGAAAATCAATATACACATAAAAACAGGTGAAAAGAACCACAATGTTTCGGCTGTGGAGCCCGGAGGCTTAACAGCCCAAATGTTATGTTTCTTTTCTTCTCTTTCCAGCATGGAATAAACCTTTGCTTGTTCCTTTGCAGCCTACGCATGCTGATGCAGCTACCTACTTGAACTATGTAAAAACAGGTGTTGGTTAAAAACATTCAAGCTTTTGAGTACAATCTAGCAACATTAATTAAAACAATCAAACATGAGTTTAACTAAAGTTTGCCTGACCAAAGGCATATTTCAGTACACTATGTGTATGTTCTAGTGGCTAGACTTTGTTTTTACAAACTGTGCCATAGATTCTCAACACTAGCGTTGGAATGTTAAAAACAGATCGTGAAAAGGAACACTTGAAAAAAGAAAAACTATAGCAATAATTCAGAAGAGACAATTTGCCTGTTACATTTAATAAAAGAAGTGCAGTTCATGGTTTCGCTGGTTCAGAGTAGTATATTGATCTACAGTATAGTGGTCCAAGTCATACGGGCTACAGTTACATAAAGCAGCCACCAGAGGGCAGAGTGAGTCAAGTTTTCTGGCCTACTGTATGTCAGGGCAGTCTCAAATAAGAGGAAGCTATTAAAGTCCCATAGCCAGTGCTGGGAACTGCATTAATTCCATCAAGCAATATATATTTTTATACCACTTCACCCTAGCAGGCATGTATTTGATAATTGGAGGACACTAGAACACTCAGATTAAAGAGAAGTGAGGAACATGACAGCTCCTTTCAGGGAGTCCCACAAGCTGTAATTGAACCAGGGCCCATGGAGTTGTTGCTCTTTTTCTGAACACTCACGACAGACACATTAGGTAGGGTCAGATGTGATATTGTCATAACCAATGCCACCCCTCAGGAAACGGAGTGACGCTGAAGGTGTTACAGACCCAAGAGCGTAGGTACGACAGGCCAGGGGGAGTGGAACAGCGGGGAACTGGAATGGTGGCTCAGTAATGAGATGTGAAGGTCAATGCCGGATCTCCGAGGAGACACTGAGTAGGTTTTAAACACCCTCAGAGCACCTGCTGTAGTGAAAGCTCTCTATACCCAGGTGCTCTGCATCACTGTCTCCACGGCGATCAAGGCCGAGCGAGGGCATGGCTGCCAGCCACTGAGCTGTGACATCCCGTGGAGTGGCAGGGCTAGTGTAACACATACAATAAAACTGAAGAAAATGGAAGGGTCGTCTTTTAAAGAGAAATGGGGCCCCAGCAGGAGGCACTCACCTTGCGGTCCATGTGGGTCCTAATGCCCCAGTATAGTGACGGTGCCTGTTTACAGTATAGTGTCTATAGTGTATAGACACTATACTGTAAACAGGCACCGTCCTTCAGATGACTCTCTGTTCATTAAAAATCCCAGGGCGTTTCCCGAAAAAAGTAGGGGTGTAACTCCGGCATCCTGGCCAAATTTCCCATTGGCCCTTACAAATCATGGCCTCCTAATAATCCCCCTCTATGAATTGGCTACATTACACAGCTCTCCTCCCCACTGATAGCTGATGTGTGGTGGGCATTCTGGCTCACTATGGCGGATGCTGCACACTGGTGGTGGAGGGGAGTCCCCATTACCTGTAAAGCGCCTTTAGTGGAGTGCCCAAAAAAGCTCTGTATAAGTGTAAGCAACTATTATTATTATTATTATTATTATTATTATTATTATTATTATTAAATGTGAGCCCCATTAAGAGAGACAGCTGCAGTCTCAATATGTCATGCCAGTAGCCTTGAATGTGTCAATTCAGGAAGTGTAAATTAACTTTTACTTGGGTCTTTTTAGTCTGTTTTTAAAATGTTTATCTATAACCATAAAGCATCTTTCTAATGTTATTTCAACAAGATATGGATTAAACCTACAGTATGAATATTGTTTGGTTAGTGGAAGTTGTCTCATACTTCCAGGAATCTACATAGAGTCAAGAGTACCTTATTTTTTCTATTCTTACAGTACACATTCCTATCCTCAATGTGGCACTAATGAGCTACGGAACCATACAAACACTCCTGTTCGTGTTTAGCAATAGGAATATCTCATATGTCTCTGTGAGCAGTCAGCTTGTTGATTTTTCAGACAGAATCATGCATGTCTCACCTTCTTGTAACATTTTATAATTAACATTTTATAATGAATGTAATGAACTGCTGAAGTGCAGGTAGCCACACTTTTTTTGTTAGCATTTAAGCAAAGTAATCATTCAGGCAGAAATAGGTTTAGAGGTGGATTTAGGAATTTAGTGGTGATGAAATGATGTGGCACTGAAGTTCCAAGATGTTTTCCTTTTAGAAACCCCAGTACGCCTTTTCTGTCATCTTTTGTTATGTTAATGAAGGGTATACAGTACATCACCTAAAATGGCTGTACACAGTTAATATAACTTCCTTTGCATATTTCATTTCTTTCAAACTCCCCCTTCTACAGCTTTCTGGGGGCAGTTTTTACATTGCAAAACTATATAAAATGAAAACAGACCCTTTAGCTCATCAGCGCTCGACACTTTCCAGCACACTGTGATTTCTGGCTCAACACCGGGCTTGGTGATGAAAGGTACCAATTCTGGCCCCCAACTTCCACAGTTCTGCCTTCTTAGCCAAGGAAAACTATAACCATGTGATGTATAGGGGCTCCTGGGGGCTATGGAACGTCATTATGCCATCTCATAAAATTTAGGATTTTCAATAGTCTGTCTGGTTTAGTTAGTTTTTGATTGCAGGAACGTAAGATGTGCATATGGCACTGAAAAGAATACACAAAAAACATCTTTTTGCTTTATTATTTCAGATCAATCACTGAAAAAGATTTCTGAATTTTTGTGTAAAAAGTATACAGTGAAGTTCCGGCGTACAGAAGGAACCAAAGTTAAAGTGGCTGTATACTGTACGCATCTGTTTAGAGGCTGGACATTTTTGGCTTTGTCTCATTGTAACACATCATCATACATTAATGGAATATTTGTATCACAACATATTTAGAATCCAGGAAATGGCCTGATAAATCAACCAAACAGGTTATCTGTAATTTTCACAAAGTACTTGGCTTTTGTAAAGATGCTAAAGTATAGCTAAGCACCAGTTCCAGCTGGTTCATGGATATACTGGCACTGGATATTCTTTGCAGTGGCTATACTTGGCCTATGTCAGTGAACATCAGGAATTATTTCCTACTTGGAATATGACTGTAAAGTATTGATTCAACAATAAAGACGGGATGAATTTGTAATCCTTGATGTACTTTATGATAGTATCATACTAGTTAAATTAGTAACTTTATGATTACTAATTCCTTAACATACAGTAGGAGATGACAAAGTCTTTTGCTTAACAGCCAGAACTTCTTGTTTCATACAAGTATATACTGTAAGTAGGGGATCTGCAACACAATTTTTACATTCTGGGGTTATAATAAATCAGCAATGATGAGTGCATTTCAAACCACATTGAAACTACCAAGTACACTGTGACATGAACAACCTCCAATTTACATTACAAAAGATGAAGTTTAATTGTATGCATAGTGCCATACGACTGTCTGCATTTCAAAACGAGGTTACAAAACCAGTGATGCAACAGCGACCCTATTTCTCTGTAATCATGCTTGTGACCAAGCAGAATTTGCTACTATGTAAATTTTTAAAAAGTTAATGAAACCAACACTGAAGTGTTCTAGTGTCCAGTCGGCCTGACGGGACAATGTTAATCCTGTATAACAATTTTGCACAGGCGTGGCGATGTCGCTGCCTTGGCTGTTGTCCATCATGAGTTGAATCTGTCAAAATGAATCATGATTGCCAGTTGTCATTGTCAGCCAATGTCGGGGGATCCCGGACAGTAGCATTTTTACTCTCAACATCCCAGGGACCTCCTCCCTAATACGTTTTGGCAGTTGTGGCATTTTGGTTTGAGCGTAAGTCAATATTTCCCCTGGGTTTTTTATGCCCCCGGTCAGAGGTGTAGTAGCACATGAATGCTGCCATGATCACATCCATATTTGTAAGTTTGTGAACCACTCGACTATATAGTATAGTCTGTTACACAAGTCACCAAGACGTGTTCGTGGCATTTAGTTAATTGATTGTTTAGAAAATTAAGTGAATTTAAATATTTTTTACTGAAAATTAGTGAATAGGATGGACTCACCCCCCAAAAAACCAAATGCTATTCTGGATGAGAGTGCCGTATGTAGTATGTATATATACACTGTGTATGCCATTCTCATTTAGCACATAATAATGCATGCTATGCCATCCAAAGGTGAAGAAACAGCAGGAGGACTTTCCTCTTATAGTGCAAAATGTCACATTCATAGGAATTGCTCTTGAAAAACATTGAACTGCTGTAGAAGAAGAAAATATGTTCACAATTGGAAATCTACAGTATACCCTGCCTGAACACATAAAAATAAAATAGCTGCCAAATTTACCCATACTTTTAAATAGTCAGTGATTCTGTTGTTTATAAGTTAATCTACTTTTTCAGAAATGCCAAGGAGACAAGATTTGACCTGCGGTACTGACTTTTTTCTTCCAGATGTGTTCTCTCAGATCACGGACTCCACCGGAGCCATGATGTTTACAAAGTTTGATCATTACTTAAGAGAAGTGTTGAAGCTCCCAACGGCTGTGTTTGAAGGTCCTTCTTTCGGTTACACAGAACATTCAGTGCAAACGTGCTTTCCACAGCAGGTAATACCAAAACACTGATCTACAGTAGGTCAACACCACCACAGAACTGCCAAATTGAAATAACACTATTCAATACAACATTTCAGGAGTTTTCATGCCTTTTGTTTAAAGGTGTCCACTAATATATGAAGCAGTTTGTAAATGCCAGTTACAGTGATGGTAAAGTGAAAGTACATTTTATTAAAATGCTAACTTGTCAAAAGGAACAGTATCTGTAGCACATTATTGTGGAAAATGAATACAATCATTTTTAATTGATTGTTTTATGAATATTTGAATTTCTTGGCTGGCAAGTAGGTACCATGTCTTGCACAGTATTAAGTACCTTATAAAAGCTTATTGTAGATATTGTGATTTGTTCAACATGGGATCTTTTACAGCTCAAGAACCAAAAGTGACAATACAGTTGTATTAAAGGTGTCTTTAAACAGGTCCTACTGATGTCCTTGTATAGACTCGTCATTTCATTTTATTGCTAAGAGACGTTCTGAAAAGGGGATATTTTCTATAAAAACGGTTATTTACAGATAATGTTGAAGAAATCCTGCCAGTTTTAGTCGTATGAATATATACTGTACAGTAGCAGGCTGTGCACTGTTTTGAATTTATTTTCGGCGTTCACGTACATAACGATCACACTACTAAAACATCATTATACCTAGAAGTAATACAATCCAGTGGGACTCTGCACACAGTCATAGCTGTTTTGTCTTTGTGTTCCCAGAAGAAGATTATGCTGAATATGTTTCTGGATGCATTAATGGCTGATCCTCCCCCACAGTGCCTGGTTTGGTTACCTCTCATGCACCGACTTGCCAATGTGGAAAATGGTAAATGTCAATCAGCATCTCTTCATGGAGAGTACATTTCATAGTTCATTTTGAAATACTGTCTTGTTTTAATAGTGTTTGCACTAACCTTTGTGCATATAGTGTCTTGCAAAAGTATTCACCCCTTTCCAATAAAGTTCTATTTTGTTGAATTACAGTCATTTTCTAAACTTGCCATTTTTAAATGAAATCTTAAATCATAAGCTGAACAGTTTTATGGCTGAAGGAAGTATATAACCAAAAATGGCAAAACAATTGTCACAAAGATGTCTATTGCAAAAGTATTCACCCTCTTTGTCAGTCTTAAGAAGTGGAAGGTATATTGTGTGTATTTTTTAATTAAACAAAATTGGACATCATTGAAAGCAGGTGAAAACTTTTTGTAAAGCAAAACGTTGTCTATGTGAGAACATTACAAATGAGAGAAGGCCATTCAGTTCTCTTTAATATACAGTACAGCATATACAAATATAAATATGTATAGTGTGAAATTTCATTTATATAGCAAATGTATTGTTTGTTTAATCATTTCTGGAAGTATACTGGATATACAGTAGTACTTTATATAACCATGTACACTGTATGTACTGCACAGAAGAAATGTATATATAAAAAAATATTTTAGACTTATGGATTTTATGGCTGTCCACATTATGGGTATAGTTGAAACTGGCACATCAAAGCTTTATTCATTGAATTATCCTTGATTTTAGTACTCATCACATTTTTTAACAGCCTTCCAGAATTGTGATGCTTTAATTCAGTGTGTGTCTGCAGTTCAAAGTGGTGAAGTTTTAAAATCACACACAAAATCACAAATAGAAGATTAGTTTCTTCGTTTGGAATTTAAAAAGCAACTCCTGTTACTAAAGAATGATGCACCTAACTAAATGCATGTGTGAACAAGATATGAAGATGATTAGAACTGGTTGTTAGTTCGTATTGAGGTATCTTCCATATTCCTGTGTTTTATCTTCTAGTCTTCCACCCGGTGGAATGTTCTTATTGTCGTAGCGAAAGCATGATGGGTTTTCGATACCGATGCCAACAGTGCCACAATTACCAGCTCTGCCAGAACTGCTTTTGGCGGGGTCATGCCAGTGGTCCCCATAGCAACCAGCATCAGATGAAGGAGCACTCATCTTGGGTATGTAATTAGAAAAGGTACCACACAAGAGGAGGCCTTTCAGGCCCTTTAGCTTGTTTGGGAATTAATAATTGATTCAAAACTATCACTTAGCGATTTCTTGAAAAGAGCCTTTACGAAACTTTAATTTAAACTATAAGTTTGTAAAAGAAAACTTCATAGTGAATTTGTATAGTTTTAGCATCCCTATATTTACAGTAAAGTCTACAATTTTAACTTTATGTCCTAATATTTTGTTTGTGTTTTGTATTTTGTATTTTTTGTATACTTTCCTACACAATGTAGACATATACAGTAAACATGTCTATTTAATTACAAAGGCTTTATTCCTTAGTAATCCCTTTAATGCACTGTGTAATGCATTATGTATTTACTACCTTTGGGTAATATTCTGCACTTGTCTACATTACACATATACCTGTTGTTTTCCCAGTCTTAAATTGTATATAAAATGTTTATCTAAACAGCAATTTTAATTCCATGCTGAAAAGAGAAGAAAGAAATCACAACATTTTGGTCATGGCCGAAACGTTGTGTTTTCTTTCTTCTCTTTTCAGCATGGAATAAACCTATTACTTGTTCCTTTGCAGCCTACGCATGCTGACGCAGCTACCCACCTGATCTACTACAGCAATTTTCATTTGCTGTTTCTCCTGTACATTGTTTCCTCATCTTTCAATTTTTGTATCATTTGCCAACTTGACTAGTTTAGGAACAATACCAGATTCAAGATCACTGGTTTAAATTAGAGAGTGGTGTTCCTCTAATTACATCAGTCCTTACTTGTAGTTTCTGTTTTCTGCAAAGGAGCAACTAAAGGTTAATTCCACATTGAAAACACAACATGTTGAGCCTTCATCAGGAGTGTGAGAGAGTAAGGTGGCTGGAAAACGAAGCACACGAGAACAAAGCACTGAGTAGATGAAAGAGTGGACAAAAGAGGGTCTGAGGGAGGGTTGTGAAAAGCTGAAATCTTTGATTTTAAAAAGAAATTATTACTCATTTAGAGAAGGGCAAGGTGTGATCCACTTTTAGGGTTAATTTTGGTTTTCCTAGGGTAGGAGTCCTGAAATCATTGCAAAAGGGTGCAAACAAAAAGGTCAGTGAAATGGTTTGGGGAGGTGAAATGGGGAACTGTTGGCTTAGAGAGATCTAAGATCCTCACTGCAAGTTGCTGTTTTCTGCTATTCTGCTGTTTCTTTTTTTCTATTAAACATTTTGCAGTCTATATGCACACATTTCTTTGAATGCCTGCTGCAATGAAGTGAAGCCCATGGACACAGAACAGCAGTACATTAATAATAAAAAGTCTCAAAACTAAAGACTTCACTAAACTTAACATTATCATGTTTGTTTATTCATGACTAAAATTTATTTACAGCACACATATACAGTACAGTACAACCGTACATATTCCCTGGATACTTGTCTACAGTTGATTCCTTGTAATTTAAATATAGATGCAGATTATTTCAGTACTTTATCTTGCAGTGATTTATCTCTTCACAGTTTATTTTTTTAAATGTGATCACACTAAATGTTTAACCTTTAAATTTTATTCATGAAAAAATCTCCCCCTTGGCCTATCCATCTCTTGCTGGAGTGTTTCAGAGTGTGGATGAAAGATCTGTGTAATTAAAAGTGTCTTAATGAGCAATAAGTGATGTGTAATGAATTTATTTGACTAGCAGTTACAGGAGTTTCTCTCAAGTGTGCATAGAAAACTTTTAAGTAATATGTTTAATTTTAAAAAGTAACTTCATTTTGTTTCCTTTTTAATAAAGCACTGTGGCTAACACATATACTGTACAGTACCTACAATATATAAAGACACTGTTTTTTTTAAATAAAACTTGCTACATGATTTATGTCTGTACTCTGAACTGACCAGAACTAGACAAAAATGGCAAATATAACAATATATAATATAACCATTAGAAATAAGGAAGATTCAGACAGAGATTCATACAGTATATATTTTTTTTGCTGTGCAGCAATTTTGTGTTCTATTATTGTAGTGTTGCTGCAAACATTAGCATGGTACAGTATGTTTTTGTGTGTTTGTTGAAGGTTCGGACCTTCAGAACAGGGCTGTAGACAAACAATGAGAAGGATGAATTAGACTTAAGTGTTTTCAGAGCTTCCCGTTTCTAAGAAGATTCAGGTAATAATACTACTACTAATATTACTTATATAGTGCTTTTATGGAAACTCCACTCAAAATTTACAGGTAATGGGGAATCCCTTTAATCACCACCAATGGTGCAGCATCAGTCTGGATGAGGTTGAAGTCATAATGCGCCAGTATTCTCACCACACATCAGCTATCAGTGGGGAGAAAAATAGAGGGATGAAGCCAGTTCATACAGTAGATGGGGATTATTAGGAGGCCATGATTGGTAAAGGCCAATGGGAAATTTGGCCAGATGCTGGGGTAACACCCCAACTCTTTTCTACAAAAATGGGATAAATCAAGAAAACACAGATAGTCTTACTTGTATTACAGTACATGTAATAATAATTCCTTACACTTATATACTGTAGCACTTTTTCTGGACACTCTACGCAAAGCGCTTTACAGATTATGGGGACTCCCCTCCACCACCACCAGCGTACAGCCCCACCTGTACACTGGAGCAACCATCGTATGCCAGTACACTCACCACACACCAGCTATCAGTGTGGAGGAGAACAGAGTGATGAAGCCAGTTCATAGATGGGGATCATTAGGAGGCCATGATCGGTAAAGGCCAATGGGAAATTTGGCCAGGATGCCAGGGTAACACCACTACTCTTTTTGAGAAACATGCTGGGCTTTGTAATAACCACAAAGAGGCAGGACCTTGGTTTTGCATCTCATCCAAAGGATGGCGCCTTTTTACAGTATAGTGTCCCTGTCACTATTCTGGGGCATTAGAACCCACACAGACCACAGGGTGAGCACCCTCTACTGGCCCCATTAACACCGTTTCCAGCAGTAACCTTAGCTTTTCCAGGAGGTCTACCGTCCGGGAACTGGCCAGGCTCACACCTGCTTAGCTTCAGTGGGTTGCCAGTTGTGATTTGCAGGGTGATATAGCTGCTGGCAAGTGAATGATGATTGGTCTCTTCCTTGTTAATTATGCCTGTTTTGTTAAAAACTGAGTTATGAATATGATATTTAGACAGCAGTGTTAAATTAACAAGAAATTATGTGTTTTGTTTCTTAAAAAAAATTCTAGCCACGCTTGATAAATTATCCATCACATTTCCCAACGTAATACAAAAAACATACTCTTTCTCATTATTACAAAAGGAATGTACAGTATGTTGTAGACTTTCATGATTACAGGAACTGCAGAGCTCTGAGATAATTTATATTTACTAACAGGGTGCCAATAGAGTATTATGTAGAATGAGGTGAAATGTTTTACATCTTCAGTCTAGCTTATAAAAAATACAGATAATCTCACACAAAGTGCATCAGGTGATTGGTGTCGATGAAAATTTGCCAAGCAGCATTCTACTGCTGGTGGTTTGTGGTGGTAGTTTAACTCATTCAGAACAATGTATTGATTTTTTTTGCAGAGAGAGAATATTTCAAAGCTGGCAATAAGCAACTCTGTTTTTGAGCCCTAGGACAAAATGATTGGATGGCCTAAGGAACTAAAATATCTTTGATGTGCACTTGCATGGTGTATGTCAAGATTTAGCCAGCTGTTGTTTGCATTGATTTATGGCACATATTGACATTATTATAATTTTACTGGTGTCTCAATAGTTTTTGTATTATTTTTTGTCCATCTCTTTCTATTTGTGATACATGAGATGCAAGAATAAAACAGGCATTTGTTTCTTGTAAAATTCCTACTCCTTTGTAGTTTATAGATGATAATAGTTGTAGCAATTAAGCATATAGACGGAAGAGTTATAGAAAACAATAGAAGTCCTATCTAATATAACTTGGATATTGGATATACAGTGGGTAGGTCTCCTTTTCAGGCCATAAAGGCAAGGGCCACCATTTGTCTTGACCATCCAACTGGAGGTGGAAGTGATGTGGTCAGCATCATGGTCCGGCCAGCCTATTACCCCTGGAAGGATTAACCCCCGGTACTCATTTGGAAAACAGGCTGAGTGGACCTGGAAGCCATCTGGAAGGAATTAGAGGAAGCTACATCACTTGCCCCTACCTGGAATTGAACCCAGGACCTTCCAGTCAGGAGCTAGATGTCCTTGCTGTCTGAGCTACCACAGCTCCAGATATTGGATATAATATTACTAATATTACAATATACTGCTGATTGGAAAGTCTTGAGTTAAAGTACATTAAAATTAAATATCCAGTTTTTTGATACCTTAATATTTTTTCACCTCTGTTAAAAAAGCAGTGAAAGCTTAACAGATATTCAAAGACATTATGCACGCTATTACCTAATGATTCGACCCCCCCTTGATCCTGTTGTGCTAGAGGGAATTACTGTATAAAAGTGGCAAGTAAAGTGGCAGTGAGTCTGCATGACGTACAGTACACTAGATGGTTCTGCCCAGCCAGCTGTTCCACTGCCCAACGGCAAAATTACCTGCTCTTTCCTATCTTCGGTTTGTGCTGTTAATTTGACCCTATAAATATTAATTATGAGAATTTTATTTCTCTTTTCCCATAAATCATTTTATGTTAATTCCATCTGAGCTTTGCTGGTTAAGGGCTGGTTTCAACCACTTTACGGTGGTTAAGGCTCATATACTGTTTCTTTTTTTGTTCTTTGAAGTAGTCTTGTGATTATGTGCATGGTTGTTGAAATACCCTTTTTGTTTTGTACTTCCTGTAATTTACATTCCAGTGGTGTTGTACTGTGAGTTTTGCCACTAGCACATTGTTTTAGAGGTTAACCCTCCCCATAGCTCTCCTCACCATTTCGCGACAATTTCTGTTTTTTTAGGTAGCTATCATGCAAGAAAAGGTCCCACGCTGCCACATTACTGCTGTCTATAGTTTGTTCACATGTTTGTGGAAGGGC